CACATTAATTCTAGTAGTACTATCAGTCCATAGTAGTACTATATCTTTGAACTTACCGGTACAGTTACTCTGTCACGGCATCCCAACCCAAAACTCAATTAACCATGTGACCATACGGATACCTGATGACACGCCAGTATCGTAAACAAACACATGATTATACTCCCTTGGGATCATCCCCAATGAATACTGGTGCTGGAAGCCCATGTGTTTTCTATGTGGTTTTCGTGAAAGTTTGTGTGTATTTCGTTATTTAGTGTGTGATAAAAACGGGGTCTCTCGGATGTACCAGTCCTTCCTTTGAATGCAAGGTTCAATGCTAGTTACCCCATTCTGTACATCCGCGTGGACTACGTACACTTGTACATTCTACTGTACGTGTACAATAAATACTATGTACTGTAGTGAACTCAGGAAGAGTACAGTTGTACTTTACAGAATATCAGTCAAATTAGACTATTGTTGATTACATTCCAGAATTACTGTAATTACTAATCGTTAGTCTAAATAGTGCATTGAATATCTTGAGATAGCTTAATATGACGCACTTTGACGGTTACGTAGAACTTGATTAAAGTATGTATTGATTATTTTGACGCATTTTGACGGATACTTAGACTTGATTAAAGTATGTGTGCACAGATAAAAACAACATCTTGATCGCCCAAAATCTCTACCCCAACGCAGAGAGACTGCGAACACACAGACATCTCAAGTACACCAACTGGTCGCCCATGCTACCGCAGCGTGCGACTATACTTCGTCGTACTGCTCAGGTAGTTGTGGAAAACTGAGTTTGATGTCCAATTTCTGCCCAAATAATCGAAATATTATCCAATGATAAAGTATCATCGTGGCTGCAATGCGCAAGTCAAGGACGAAGAACCGCTGGCCCGTTCAAGTGAACGAATGGATCCTGCAGTACACAGCGCGTTATCCGTGCTTCTACAGAGCTCCACGACGCGCTGAAGTTGGAATTCCCCACGCTTGCAAACGTGTCCCAAGCTACCATTTGTCGTGCATTGATGCACGATTTGGGCTTCGGGGTTCGCAAAGGTGACATATACATGAAACACTGTATTCATAGTTGTTATGACGTATATTTCATAGCGCTTGAAAAGCGAGCTCGCGAAGCGGCATATTTTGAGCTGCATGACTACTACCGACGACTCCACCCATATTTCACGTGACCAGCGGGTGTTTGCATTAGCTGAGTTTTCAACTGGCGTTATTTTTGTGCTGGGGCTATGTTGACGGTATTAATGTATTCAATATAGCAAAATAGTGAAAGTGCATACAGTATTGTCGGATCAATGTGGTTTCGATAAAAATATAATGTTTGGAAAGTATTACAGCGTGCAAAAATTCAGATCAATGTGGTTTTTCTTCCAATCAAAGTGGTCGGAAACAGCGCGAGAAATGGAGCTCGAACCCAATGACTTCACAGTACATCCACGTCATTCGTCATTTTGCCACAGACCATGAGGGCTCGCACCAAGCACAAAGGGCCCAAAGTGGAAGAAAAGACGCGAGTCCTCGTGGCTTAGGAGCAAGGTCAAGACTCGACGCTGGTTGCCAACCAAAATGACGTCGCCTTGACAACTGCGCGCCTCGTACTCTCCAAGGGCCATGTCAGCCACCTGCCACGTGGGGGAAGGCGCCTCGGACGAACGAAAGTCGCCCCGGAGATCCACGAAGCGCTGGAGCGATACGTTGATAAGAACTGCTAGTACACCCTGACCGCCATGAAACAGTTTATAGCCAACGACTTCCCAGAAACCGAACTATCGCTGCAGAAAATCAGTCGTCACCTGCTTGGGATGCTCTACACGATCAAATCCGTACGTATTCAACCTGCACCATGCAACAGCGACATCAACAAGACCAAACGGAAAGCCTTTGTGGAGTCCTTGCTGCGGCACCAACAAGATGGTGATTACATTGTGTACTACGATGAAACGAACTTCAACATCTACTGCCATCGCCTCGTCGGTCGTGCGAAGAAAGGGGAACGAGCGACTGTGATGCTTTCGCCATTGAAATGCCTCAACCTTCAAGTTCAGTGTGTGGTTTCGGCGGAGCAAGGACTAGTTTGTTTCCGTCTGGAGCGGGGAAGCATCAAGATATCCCAGAATTTTGCCTTTGTTGAAGCGGTCTATCAAGCAGTGAAGATGAGAGCCGCGTGGATCGATAACTTCGAGGTTAAGAGGGTCGTGATTGTTCTCGATAACGCACCAGCACACTCGCAAACGGAGAAGCGCATTGAGCATCATGAGGACTTGGTACTGTTGCGTCTGGGACCGTATTCCCCGATGCTGAATCCTATTGAGAGTTGCTTTAGCGTGTTGAAGGCCGACATCAAACGATTCCTCGCCTCGCACACCAATATGTTGTTCGATCGTAGGGAGTTCAACTCGTTTTTGGAGAGCCGAATGCGATTGCTGGAAGAAGCCGCCATCGTATGCCTCCTGTGTATTACTCAGTCATTAGTCATCCCTGAGGCTATGTTTTGTCAGCGCAATATCGAGAAGGCCCTTCAATTCGAGGATATGTCCTATGAAATGTGATTTTCACCACATTGAATGGAATAAATCTACATTGTAATGGAAATTAGCAGTTTTTTTTGTAACCATCGGCTTTGTTTCAAAAGTTTTATATTTTTAATTGCCACTTTGATGGGAATAGAGTGGCACTTTGATCGGAAAAAGGTTTAGTAGCTTGGTAGTTGTAAGTTGACATGGAATATTGATAGGAACGTTCGATCGGGAACGTTTTCACAAGGTTACAACGGATCATATACTTCCTAACTTAAACCCATGGCCGTTAGCTCGATCTATCCTGATCTTGGATAATGCTAAGATCCATATGTACAAGCAGCTCCAATGCCTTTGTTGAGTGCACTAATCAGCGCGACAATATTGAATACAACCTCTATCGACATTTCGGGTACAACACGGACCGACCTCGATAAAGGCACTTTTCAAATGTCTCAGCTGAGATATAGAAATACATTAACCAGAAAAAACAAGGTGAAATAGGCAATTTTGTATGCAGCAAAAGGTGGACCACCTTGCGAATACCATTAATATTACTTAAATTGTATAGTTTCAATGAAATATATCTTCAAGCTTGTATTATTTATTTTTATTTGTCATGTCTCTGTCTGTTTTTGGAATTCACAAGGCAGGTCATTTTGCAAATTCAAAATTGTCCAATCAGATGCCGTGAAATCACGGAATTTTCTGCGTACTAAATTCATCACACCCTGATGAGATATATCCTACTCCTGTGATGGCGGTTGATGCAAGGAGCATTGGAATACAGTAATTATGTAGGTAATGTATGAGAGCAAGATCATGCGATGCGGTATTCTAGACTCGGTCAATTCGAACAGGTCTAGACTTCACAGTCAGTATCATCACCACTTACTTGCCTACTAACCCAATGAATGTGGTCATCCATCATTCCACCATCCAGTCCATGTCGGTGCCGTACACTTCCCTGCTGGTGTGATCACGTGGTTGCGCGGGTGGATGGCGCAAGTGCTAAAGCCGTCACTTCAGCACTTGCGATGGGTATCGCAAGTGGCGTTGGCCCACCAGAGCAGCCACGTTATTGCGACCCAACCGAGCGCACAACGTAATGTTACTGTAAGGGGAGAACCATATTGAAAATAGTCGGAGTGAACTCATCAGGGAACAATGTAGCATCACACAAAGCTCTACAAAATTTAAACCAGTTCAAAATTGTAACCTCTTCTGCCAGTGTTATAGCCAATCGTGTGTGAGAAACAAGGTGTGATGGACCCTGATTGGATATTAAAACGGAGCAAGCTTGCGAATTCCATTAACAAGTCATCAAACTTGACGAAAAAGCCCTATGATACGACTTTTCGGGCCTTAACTTTTGCTTGGACTTATTGTCAGACCCCGATAAAACCAACGGATGGGAGTATAAGTCCAAAACTGGTCCTATCTAAGGGTTATCAGTATAAATCAGACCTTTAAGTCTGACGAGTGGCGATGCTCTAATGGACTATCTTGTAGTACGAGTATTGATATTGATATTACGCTGTAAAGTTAAAATCACTCAGCGGGCACTTAATAGCCTCGGCCGCGTACTAGCTGCGTTCGCAGTTAGCGGACTTAACTACTTGAAAACCTAGTTGTGGCCACTCCAGGGGAAAAAGGATGCTTAAGCCGCTGGAGGAGGGATCCCGGGGTCCGGGGGAAGGCGTAGTGGCCGAATTGAAGTGTCGGCGTAGCCTGCGGGAGGGGGGAGGGCGGGTGGTAGTAAGGAGATACTTCGGGAATGCCAGCGGAGCATCTTGGCTGTGAGGTGGGCCCTGTGGGCGCGGATGCGTCGGTCGTGGCCCATGGGGGTAGCGGCATTTTTAGCCGGATGTTGTTGTTGACCTCGGTGAGGAGGGGTAGTTCCCCTGCGATGCGTATGTGGTCCACGTTAGTAGTGCATGTGGAGTGCCAGTGGCGGCGGAGGGTGGCCAAGTGCGCCGTGAGCCATTGGGTATGGAGGTGTGGAGCGTGGAGGTGGGTAAGAGCGGCTGCCCAGGCTCGTGTGGTGTGTGTCATGGTGGGGAAGGTTTTTCAGCCTGAGGTAGCGTGGTCGATGTCTGGAAACGTGTTGGTAAGGTATGTGCGTGTGTCGAGGGTATATTGGTCGTAGACGGGGATGGAGGATTGGACCCAGTGGAGGCAGTGTGTGGGGGCACTAAGTAGCCGTGGGGCGGCTGCCGTGGCAGTTTCCTGCGGGCTGAGTAAAGTGGTTGGGGGAGGCCGACGTAGCCAATGGGTAGCATCGATGAGGTGTAGTGCGGCTGTCCAGTGCTGCTGGGCAGAGGTGAGTAGGGCTAGTGTGTTGCCAGTGGCGATGAAACCAATGTGGAGTGGGGCGGGGTTGCCTGAAGCGAGTTTGCCCCAGGGGGGGTTGAATGGGGGAAACGTGGCGGAGTTTGAGCTGGCCCGGGGGAATGGTGAGGAGCCATGTTGTTTGGAGCTGTTCAGCCATTTCACGGCCGCGGGAGCCATCGGGAACGACAAACCAGTAGGTGGCCAGTGTTTGGTGAGAGGTATCGGCCTGTATAGCGTCGCAAAGAAATGACTACATCAACTGATGCAAATACCTACCCCCGAAAGTACATCTAATGGTGGGCCCATGATAATTCAAATGTTCCGTCCGATGACGTCCTTATGATATGATCCAAAATCTACGATACCGTATATTTCCTCATGTAACGTTACGCTTGTAATTTGTACCAATCATATCTAACAATAAAAAAGTACTACGTAGTACTGCACAAGAATACCTACTTACAACGAGGACGGCGTTGGATGACACCAAACATAAATAATCACATATGTTCTTGTAGTACATTTAAATACAAATGTCTGAAACCTAATTAGGATATGAATGAATCCAATTTTGCCTGGATGACTTCAAATATTCCTGGATTACTTTCACAATTTGGAGTAATACTACGTACTGTTACTAGTAGTACCAGTAAGCTTACGTAGTGGGAAATAGTACTTCAGTACTATTTACATTAATATTAATAGTATTGAAATTTCACTAACTTAAATAGTGTACACTGTACTACCAATGGATGCAAGTTAATACAGGAATATGTTATGAACGAGTTGAGTACTAGTGGTGCATTAGGGTTAGGAATTCTACCAGTGCCGTACAAGGTATGCTGATGCGCTATTGTACAACTGCATCGTACACCCAAGGAGAAACAACACCACCGTTGCCCCACTACACGCATAACGCAAATGTGCGAATTAGATCGATGTGTAGAAACATACTGTTCATCCTTAACTGCGCGGTAGATGACCCACCCGACGCCTACTGCCGGCGCCGCCGCACCACATACTATGACCCCGCTAATACAATGTGTGGTGAGCTAATTAATTCACAAAAATGCTAGAAAATATAGTACGAACCTCCTTCATATAACGCAGCCCCTCGAGTCGACGGTGTAACGATTAGACCACTGCTACAGCACTGACGCACCAAAGTCATGAACACATGTAGTCAAACATATCCAAACTTTGTTGTCCATGTGCACACCACCAGACCTTTGCAACTTGTCGTGCTGAACTTGCTAGTTGGAATATTGTGCCCCCACCGCCCTACAAATTCGTCCACTTGGCCGTTGCAGTGCTCTTGAAGACAGCGAAGCGCTGGTCGCACTGACTGCAAAACAAATGCTTGGAAGCCGTTACTGTATTCTGCGTAGCGGTTGTTGCTGAAACATCATGAATTTGTTGAAATAGCTTGAGTTTTGAGGCTGTGGTGGTCAACATCACCACACGACGACGTTTTGTGGGTAAATCATAGTCA